CACGGTTCACGTGTCGCCCTGTCAGCTACTCGCACATCATGTTACTCCTTCGGGAGCACCACCTCGCGACTACTCGCTGACACATCGCACTCGCATCTTCTCCGTCCATCTCCTCATCAATCAGCCCGTAAATACGTGACGCTTGGAACCAGCCTAGCGGTGCTCACGTCGCAACTCTCGTGTACGAGACCCACTAGGTTTTTAACACTTGGCATCCATCGGAGGGCGCATCATGCCTTTCCTCCCTATCCAACATTGCACCCTCGCCGTACAAATGTCGCACCGCCACAATCTCGTTTACTTCGCCATATTTCTCGGCACCCAATCGTTTTGCTCACGATACACGTTTGCGACTCCATTCGCACCGTCCATCTGCACACCTAGTCTGCAAATCCCCGCTGCCACGTTGTTCTCACAGCCGCGATCTACCCCGTTCACTTGCCTTCGGATCGTCCACTCGCACATCTAGTAACCATCCATCCATCTCCTCGCCATAAGCCTTCGCTCAATGTGCGCGAAATAATATTAACCGTACACCTGTCGCGTCCTCGCCGAATATCAACACGATCTCCCAACCAGTACGCCATCACTCCTACACGTAATTTTGATAGTTCTAACGTACACCAGAGTGACACGCGTAGTTTTGTCCGTGCGTGTCAAATTGGGCATAGGTTCCACAATAATGCTTATCCATGATGATATCCAATCAGAACGCCTCACGCCCGCACTGTTGTCACGGGCACGTCCTACCCAGTCACGACATATGGAACCCTCCACGACTCGCGCAGCCAAATGCGGCGCACTATTAGTCTGCCCGCACACCTGGTTCCGTCCTGCATTTCGCATTGTACATCATCCTCTACTTGCCTGTGTTATCTCGAACATCAATTACCCCAAACGACTTCTCCCATTCATAACACGGTCGCACATAATGAGTACCACAACTCCTAACTACACCCGTCCTCTTCAACGCTCAATCACACACATGCAACCCCCTTACCCCACATATCCAAACTTCCAACACCGCACAAATAGCCCTCTTCTACGCATCTCTTCAGCTGTCCCTTCAACCGTTCACCACCAGCATCCTCTATTGACGGTCTACTCATCACCAAGTGACGCCGAAAGGTCGTCATCCCCTACGATGCCTTGCAGCTTGGTGGTGGCCGCGGGCTTCATGTGCTCCAGGCCGCACGCAGAGATGCGCAGGCCATGGCGCCCCCAAATCCACGCTTCGCGCTCCGCGTCATACTCGGGGTTGCGGATACGGATCGCCCTCTCCACGGCCTCCTTGACCAGGACCTTGAGCCCATCCACCACGTGGGCGTTCCCGCCCGCCGAGCTGGAGAGCCGGCCTTTCCGCGCCTCCCAGTAGAGGACGCAGTCGGAGACCTGCGCCCAACACAAAAAGCGTCAGTCCATGCATTTTCAGTAGGATGCATACCCCTTCAACCCTCGCGCGCACACACTCACCACATGCTCCAACCAGGCTAGGTGGTACACCTTAAGGGTCATCACCAGCCCTGCCTTCTTCGTCTTGAAGGCAGCCTTCGCACATGTCGCGAACGCCCGGGAGGCAAACGGCATGCCATCCCTGTCGTGTGCCCAGCTGGTCAGCACTAGAGTTTCTGCACACCACATCCAAAGCGTGGGTATCAATGTCCACAATTCTCGCATTGGTGCATGTCTACAAACGGTCGACGACTCCAACGGTCGTCTCATGCACTCACCAGGGGGGTCAGCGCCAAGCCCAATGCGCTCCCTTATCTTGTCGATACTACGCTCCTTTTCAGGTGCCCACGGGCTGGATGCGTCCCTGTCGTCCCGGAACAGGCCGAGCTTGGGAAGTGCAATGTCTCGCACGCGAGCGGCAGCCCTTGTCTTCCACTCCGACAGCGTCTTGTTGAGATCCGCCCGTCGCGACTTGTCAGCCGCCAACGCCAAACAGGCGAAGCTGTGAGGCAGGCGGTCCAGCACCGCGCACACTCCGTGAGTCTTATCGTCGCTGCTCGGGTAGAAGGTCATCGACGACGTGGGCCTGTTGAGAAACAAGTGAACTCTGGCCAGCTCGCACACCTGCTGCGCATCCATAGTATACACCATCACCAACATCAGCATTCACCTAGTACCATCAACGTGTACAGACTGCAACCCATTCCGGACGGGAATTTACTCAACCAAGATGGAAACATGCCCGCTCACCTTCCACGCCTTATCTGTCGGCAGATGCGCCAACGCGCGTTGCAGAATAGGAGACTTTGCAGTACGCATATGACGACCACCAGAACCATGCGTATCTTCCTCGTCGTCCTCTCCGTCATCGTCCGACCCGCCGCTCCATGTCTCGCCACGCTTATGCTTCGGGTTCAAGCACCCCTGCTCCGGGTCTCTCTGCTTCCGAGCCTTACGCTTACGAGATCCACCAGAACGCTCCGCCATTGCATTCAAAAACAGCGCCTCCAACCGCGCGTTCTCCTTGGCGCTCCTGTCCTGAGCCCGGATGAGTTGCTCTAGAACCCGGCTCGAGATGCGCACGTCATGGCCGTCGGTGTCCACTGGGGTCGGGCATGCGCGGTGCACATGCCCGTCCACATGTCCTCGGCCTTCGCCCCGATACACATCCGTCTCCCCCGCGCCCCGACTTTCGCGCCCGTCTGCTTTGGGTGAAGCGGTTCCCGCACACCCATCGCCGGCCGTCTTCCCTCCAGTGGCAGGTTCGCCGGATTCTTCGGGTGAGGCTGAGGCCGATGTGTCTGAGTCTGCCTCGCCATCCTCTTCATTGCGCTCGGACGATGAAGCACTCTTTGCACCAGTGCCGTCATCTGCGATGACACAGAGGCTCCATACAAGCACGGTACCACATGTCAGCTATACTTTTTGGGCACTGGGATTCATACGTATATACAATGCAAACAGCCGCATGAGTACAACGAGTCACTCATCCACGCTCTTTCTGCATACCTTGCTCATGCTGTACCACCTCGTCTCCCTTCTTGGTCACGCTCAGACGCTTAGGCAGTGTCGGCCCGCGTTTCCCGTTAGACAGCCGACCGCGCGGCAATGTCTGTCAGAACATATAGCTTACTTGTTTCTGTAGGCTATAGTGGGGTATCCCATAGGGGGTACAACCCAATTAGGGTTTCCTATTTGTACCCACTTCATTTCATAGTCATTCACTCCCGTTCATTCAGTTTCACATGGTATAGAGCGGGTCCCTTCTAAGGACCGTTTTTTTTGGGCCCACCCACGATCTTTTTTTTCCTGCCCGGAGCGCGCCCTATTCTCCTCGAGGCGCGCTCCCCCTAGTGAGCGTCGAGCTGCCCTTGTGGCGCCCCGAGAGTCGCGCGCGCGACTCATTTTTTTTCGCGCGCGCGGCCCGGGCCCCACTTCGCGCGGCCCTTACAGCCGCGCCGCGCCGCCCTCAAGACGGCCGCGCGGCCTCTTCGTCGCTGCGGCAGGCCCCCCCCCCCCCCCGCTGCACCTCTGTCGGCCCCGCCGCCGCCTTACCTGACGGCCACCGCCTCACCTGACGGCCCGCCGCCACCTTACCTGACGGCCCCGCCGCCTCACCTGACGGCCCGCCGCCTCACCTACTGGCCCGCCACCTGACCTGACGGCCCCGCCGCCTCACCTGACGGCCCCGCCGCCTCACCTGACGGCCCGCCGCCTGACCTGCTGGCCCGCCACCTCACTGACGGCCCGCCGCCTCCCCCGCTGGCCCGCCACCTGATCTGACGGCTCGCCGCCTCACCTGCTGGCCCGCCACCTGACCTGACGGCCCCGCCGCCTCACCTACCGGCTCGCCACCTCACCTGCTGGCCCGCTGCACCCTGACGGCCCCACCGTCCCCTGTCCCGGCCCCGCCGCTGCACCCTGACGGCCCCGCCGTCCCCTGTCCCGGCCCCGCCGCTGCACCCTGACGGCCCCGCCATCCCTTGTCCCGGCCCCGCCACTACACTGCAGCCGAGCCGCCCAGCAGCAGCCGGACCGCCCAGCAGCAGCCGAGCCGCTCAGCAGCAGCCGAGCCGCCCAGCAGCAGCCGAGCCGCCCAGCAGCAGCCGAGCCGCCCAGCAGCAGCCGAGCCGCCCGGTACCCGAGCCGCCCGAGCCGCCCGAGCCGCCCGAGCCGCCCCACCAGCCCGAGCCGCCTGCTGCTGTCCTACCCGACTCTCCTAGCCCGGTGAAACTTTCAGCTGCTGCCATGGCCACCCCCAATGTTCTTACTTTTGACGCTGAGGGGAGGGCCATTGACTTTGCCGTCTGGATTGAAGACCTGCAGCTGTACTTACTGTGTGATGCGATAGATGAGGTCTCTCTCTTTGACTTTGTCTCTGGCGCTGTCCCTGCCCCGCCTGCTGATGCTGACTCTGCTGCTCGCTCCAAGTGGGCGACCCGCGATGCTGCTGCACGTCTTGCTGTGCGTCGCCACCTCCCTTCCTCTGAGCGTGCCCACTTTAGTCAGTGCAAGACCGCTCAGGCCTTGTACGACGCTGTAGTTGCACGCTACTCCTCCCCTTCCTCCGCTACCCTTAGCCGCCTCATGCTACCGTTTCTCTTCCCTGACCTCGCTTCCTTTCCCACTGTTGCTGACCTAGTTACCCACCTCCGCGCTAGTGACACCCGCTACCGTGCTGCCCTTCCTGCTGAGTTCCGCGCTGCGAACCCTCCTCCCATGTACATCACTCTCTACTTTCTCGTCACCCGTCTCCCTGAGTCCCTTCGTGTCGTTAGGGACCAGTTTCTCTCTGTCTGTCCCACCACTCTCACTGTCGACCTCCTTGAGGAGTCCCTGCTAGCGGCTGAGAAGAGTATTGTCGCTGTAGGGGCCTCTCGGGGTGACCCTCGCACCCCCATCTTTGAGGGGTGTGGTCCTTCCCCCCTGCTGCCCTCTGTCGCCTCTGCCGCTGCGGCCGACCTCGCTGGTTTTGAGTCGGTCGGCGCGGCGTCTGCTCCCAGCGGCAGACGCCGCTCTGGCAAGGGCAAGGGGGGCAAGGGGGCGGGTGGAGCTAGAGGGGGCGGTGGAGGAGGCGGTGGGGGTGGAGGGGGGAGTGGGGGTGGCGGTGGGGGTGGTGGCGGGAGTGGAGGTACTAGTGGCGGCGGTGGAGGCGGAGGTGGCGGCGGAGGTGGTAGCGGAGGAGGCGGTGGGAGCGGTGGGAGCGACGGTCCTGGTGGGGGAGGTGGCGGTGGAGACGGGGGTGGCGGTGGAGGCGGGGGTGGCGGTGGAGGCGGGGGTCGGAGTGGCTCGTCCCAGCGGAGCAGCTCTGGGGGTGGTCAGCGCCAGCAGCAGCAGCAGCAGCAGCAGCAGCAGCAGCAGCCGCAGCAGCAGCAGCGCTCTCGCACCGTCCCCGGCCCTCAGCAGCTCCGTGAGTGGTACTTGCAGCGTCAGCGCGGTGGTGCGCTTGGTCCCTGCCCCTACGTTCTTCGCACCGGTGACCGTGCGGGGGAGAGGTGTGGAGGCGCCCACACAGCCCGTCGCTGCTTTGGCCGCCTGACCGACGCCTGGCGTCAGCAGTTTCCGGAGGCCGCTGAGATCCCCCGCTGGGGAGAGCTGTCTAGGGCTGGAGTAGCTATTTATGATCTTGACTTTGATGCTATTCTCTCTGCTATGTATGCTGTGACTGGTAGTGATGAGGATGACTGTTACCGGTGTTTCCCGCCCGACCCGGGCATTGGTACTGCCGCGTCAGGTACTAGTGAGGCTGCAGCTCTAGGTGCCTGTGCGTCTGTGCTCTCAGGTGCTGGTGAGTCCGCCCTCTCAGGTACTGTGTCGGCTTCGGCCTCTCACACCTTCACCCTTGACTCTGGAGCGTCTCGCTCCTTCTTTAGGGACCGCACCACTCTCACGCCGCTGAGTCGGCCGGTTGCGGTGTCCCTGGCTGACCCCTCTGGGGGACCTGTCCTGTCTCGCTTCTCCACTGTCCTCCCGTGTCCAGCGGCCCCCTCTGGCACCCTGACTGGTCTCTACCTCCCCTCGTTCTCGACGAACTTGGTGAGTGGTGCTGACCTCCAGGATGCAGGTGTCCACCAGTTCACCCCTGCTCGTCAGCGGGTGACCCACTGTACGGAGGCGGATACAGGTCGTCACCTGGCTACGTTTACACGTCGGCCAGGGTCGAGCCTGTACACACTGACCACTGCTTCTCCTCTAGGTGCTGCGTCTGGTAGAGTCCCTTCGTCTGGTCAGGTGTTTGCTGCAGCGTCCAGGTCTGGTCCTGAGTCTGCCCCCTGTTCGTGTCGTCGTCTGTCTCACGAGACCCTCCTCTGGCACCACCGCCTTGGCCACCCCTCTCTGCTTCGGCTCAGAGGCATGGCTTCGCGGGTCCTTGTGTCTGGTCTTCCCTGGTCCCTCCCTCCCCTTCCTCCGGGCCCTGGCCCTGCCTGTGTCCCCTGTGTCGAGGGGCGCCAGCGTGCTGCCCCTCACTCCTCCCAGTTTCCTCCGACAGAGGCCCCGTTGCAGACGCTTCACATGGACGTGTGGGGCCCAGCCCGCGTCCGTGGACAGGGTCAGGAGCACTACTTCCTGCTGGTGGTTGACGACTACTCGCGTTACACCACAGTCTTCCCCTTGCGCAGCAAGGGTGAGGTCACTGAGGTGTTGATCGACTGGATCCGCGCAGCTCGTCTTCAGCTTCGGAGGAGCTTTGGCTCTGACTTCCCTGTTTTGCGTCTGCACTCGGACAGAGGCGGAGAGTTCTCCTCTGGCCTCCTGAGTGCCTACTGTCGTGTGCGAGGCATCCGTCAGACCTTCACGCTTCCGGACTCACCACAGCAGAATGGGATTGCTGAGCGCCGCATTGGCATGGTCATGGACGTCGCTCGTACGTCCATGATGCATGCGGCTGCTCCCCACTTTCTGTGGCCGTTTGCGGTCAGGTACGCTGCGCACCAGATCAACCTCCACCCCAGGGTCTCTCGACCAGAGACCTCCCCAGCCCTGCTGTGGACGGGGAAGGTTGGCGATGCGTCGGCGTTCCGGGTCTGGGGATCTCGGGCGTTTGTTCGCGACCTGTCTGCGGACAAGCTGTCCCCTCGTGCTTCTCCCTGCGTCTTCCTGGGGTTCCCCCCCGACGCCCCTGGGTGGCAGTTTTACCACCCCACCTCTCGACGTGTTCTGTCCTCCCAGGACGTCACGTTCGACGAGTCGGTACCCTACTACCGCCTCTTCCCCTACCGCACTCCGTCCCTCCCCCCGCCCCCGCTCTTCTTGGTACCAGGTCCCCCCCCGGTAGTCCCCCTCCCCCCTCAGGGTCCTGCCCCTTCAAGTGTGTCCCAGGTAGACGCGGTCGAGCCTGTCGAGGTCACTGGTGACTCTGGTGCTGCTGCGGGAGCTGAGCCTGGGGGTGCGGAGTCTGGGGGTGCTGAGCCTGGGGGTACTGTGCCTGGGGGTGCTGAGCCTGGAGGTGTCGAGCCTGGGGGTGCTGTGCCTGGGGGTGCTGAGCCTGGGGGTGCTGGGCCTGGGGGTGCTGAGCCTGGGGGTGCTGAGCCTGGGGGTGCTGAGCCTGGGGGTGCTGTGCCTGGGGGTGCTGAGCCTGGGGGTGCTGAGCCTGGGGGTGCTGTGCCTGGGGGTGCTTCGTCTCGCCGAGAGCCACTCCCCCCACAGGAGCTGCGTGAGTGGTTTGCCAGGCGCTGGAGGCGTGCTGCTGGTGCTGGTGGTTCTTCGGCTGCAGAGGGTACTGCTGCCACGCGTCCTGGCGGTGCTCGTACTGTGGGTGCTGGAGCTGCTGGGTCTGAGAGTTCTCCTGGAGCTGGTCCTGCTGAGGGTGTTGGCGCTGAGCCTGCGGTTGGCGGTCCGACTGACAGTGTTCCTGGTGCTGCTGCTGGAGGTTCTGGAGCTTCTGGTGGTTCTGCTGGAGGTGCTGCTGGAGTGGTTGCTCCGGACGGGGCTGCTGCTGCTGTTCCTGCTGTTTCTGGTGTTGCCGCGCGGCCCCGACCGTACTTCGTTCCGCTCCTGCAGCAGGTTCTTGGTCTTGCACCTCCTCTTGCTCCCTTAGAGGGTCCGCAGCCTGTTCGGTCACAGCCACAGCTACAGCCTGCCTCCCCTTTGCCTGCTCCTTCTCCCTACGCTGGTCCGACTGGAGGTCTTACTGAGCGTCGTGAGCCTGCGTCTCGTCCTGCGTCGCCTGTTCGTACTGAGCGCGCTAGTGGTCGTGGTTCGCGTCAGCGTCCTCCTCCTGTCCCTGGCACGCACCGGATGTCACTGCGTCCGTCCACTGCTCCTCTGCGTGCCCCTTTGCCTTCTCCTCCTGCTTCCTCTCTTCCTGCTCTTGCCGACCCTGAGTCGGACTCTCTTCGCGCTGCCAGTCCTACTGTCACGCGTCTCCTTGCTACTGCTGTCACTGACCCTTCCTTCGAGTCGTCTGCTGCGTCTGCCCTTGTCACTGAGCTTGTCGACTTTGCTGCGCGCTGTCGTCTAGACTACGCTGCTCGTCTTGTCACTGAGTCTGAGTCCGCCTGTCCTCCGTCCGTCGGGGGTGAGTGTGCCCTTGGCACGGACGTCCTTGAGGACAGGCAGGAGGAGTTCCAGTGTCTAGCCGCTGCTTCACCTCGTCTTGCGTCTGTACTGCTAGCCCCTGAGGGAGACCCGGATGCACCAGACATCCCGACTCCGCGCTCTTACGCGGAGGCGATAGAGGGTCCCTACTCCTCTTAGTGGCAGGCAGCTATGGATGCAGAGATGGCTTCCTGGAAGTCCACAGGCACCTACGTTGACGCTGTTCCCCCTCCTGGGGCGAACATCGTCAGTGGCATGTGGATTTTCAGAGTGAAGCGGCCGCCGGGTTCTCCGCCTGTCTTCAAGGCGCGTTACGTGGCTCGTGGCTTCAGTCAGCGGCAGGGGGTTGACTACTTTCAGACCTTCTCCCCCACCCCGAAGATGACCACTCTTCGGGTTCTGCTGCACGTTGCTGCTCACCGTGACTACGAGCTGCACTCTCTTGACTTCAGCACTGCTTTCTTGCAGGGCAGCCTGCACGAGGAGATCTGGCTGCGTCGCCCACCTGGCTTCACTGGGTCTTTCCCTCCTGGTACCCAGTGGAGTCTCCGGCGTCCAGTCTACGGTCTCCGCCAGGCGCCACGTGAGTGGCACGACACACTGAGGACTACGCTCGCGGCACTTGGGTTTGCTCCTTCTACTGCCGACCCGTCGCTGTTTCTTCGCACCGACACCTCTCTGCCGCCGTTCTACATCCTCGTGTACGTCGACGACTTGGTCTTTGCCACAGCTGACACTGCTGGACTCGCCTACGTGAAGTCCGAGCTGCAGAAGAGACACACGTGCACTGACCTGGGTGAACTGCGCAGCTACCTTGGCTTGCAGATCACCCGGGACAGAGCACGCCGCACCATTACCCTGACTCAGTCACACATGGTGCAGCAGGTCCTTCAGCGCTTCGGCTTCACGTACTCCTCGCCTCAGGCCACTCCTCTGCCTACTCGCCACTCGCTCTCAGCTCTGCCTTCGGATGAGTCCGTAGAGTCGAGTGGCCCGTTTGCAGAGCTTGTTGGCTGCCTCATGTACCTGATGACCTGCACACGACCTGACCTCGCATACCCTCTTAGCATTCTCGCACGCTTTGTTGCTCCTGGGAGACACCGACCAGAGCACATGGCTGCAGCGAAGAGGGTGTTGCGCTACTTGTGCAGTACGTCGGGCATGGGGCTAGTGCTTGGAGGGCGCAGTCCAGTGGTCCTCACTGGGCACGCAGACGCTTCTTGGGCTGACGACCAGGCTACTCAGCGGTCGTCACAGGGTTACACCTTCAGCCTAGGTTCCGGCTCTGTCTCGTGGCGGGCTACCCGCTCGTCTTCTGTTCTCGGCTCCAGTTGTGAGGCTGAGATCTACGCTGGGGCTATGGCTGCACAGGAGTTACGCTGGCTCACCTACCTGCTGACCGACCTTGGAGAGCAGCCTCGTTCTCCTCCAGTCCTGTACGTAGACAACAAGGCCATGCTGGCCTTGTGTCGAGAGCAGCGAATGGAGCACAGAACGAAGCACATTGCTCTCCGCTACTTTCTTGCTCGTGAGCTACAGCAGCGTGGACAGCTACGACTTGCGTACGTGGCCTCTGAGGCCAACACTGCTGATGTGTTCACCAAGGCACTTGCGCCTTGTGATCATCAGCGTTGTTGCACGCAGTTGGGTCTTGTGGCTGTCTTGCCTCACTTGCTCTCGTCTTGACCTTGCTTGTACCTTCGCCTATATATACTCTTGCTCTTGCTTGCTTGATTCTTGTATATCTCTATATATGATCTTGCATGTAAACTGGCCTTCTGGCCTTTGAACTTGTGCTCGGAATGCGTGGTGACTTTGTGATCCACCCTGAGCTTTGCTTTGCTTTGCTTGACTGGTCTTGTGACCCCTTGTTCTCCCCCACTTTGCCTATGGGGGTGTGTCAGAACATATAGCTTACTTGTTTCTGTAGGCTATAGTGGGGTATCCCATAGGGGGTACAACCCAATTAGGGTTTCCTATTTGTACCCACTTCATTTCATAGTCATTCACTCCCGTTCATTCAGTTTCACAATGTCAGCTGATACGACGCTCGCAGGTACACCGGCGGGTTAGATACACGACGGGCGCGCCCTACCGTCAGAGTATCCTCTGAAGCAAGCGAAGTATCCATTGTAGCAACAATAGTATCCAGTGATGTAGTCACAGAATGACGGGCGGTTCTATACTTATACATATACCCCAACTTCTTACCACACTTGATGCCCATCATGGGCAGTGAGTTAGGTGGGCAATACGACTTCGTGTCTGTTTGGATGACCGCAATCCCAAACGGCTAATACATGCACACCACGTCATCCGCCGCCATGTACATGTGTGCACACATAAACCACACACCGCGCACATCATGGCGACACAACCGTATCGGTGGAACTCGTTTGTACGTACATCTTCTCTCATGAAAGTGTTCACTCTGCACGTTGTTGACGTACATCCTTTCATTATACATGTCACCAATAGCTCGTTACACTACCACACAATGTACCGAACATTTGACCACCATAGTGTAAGCAATAGCTTTCGCACCCATCAATTACGAATACTAGCAGAAAAACTACCGCCCTGCACATCTCCAACAGAATTACTCGAAAACGATACCGCACAATTGCTTTCATGTGTACGTCTATGCATCTACACCAACTACGCAGGATGTTCTGCCAACATCTCATGTGCAGCATACTCTTCGACACCCTCCTCGGCTTCCTTGTGCCGAGCGCACCCGCTGCTACCGTTGTGCACAGGGGCCGTTCCCCCACTCTCAGCATTGTCAGGGTCGTCTGGTTCGTTGACCGCCTTGTTTCTATCCACCACCCTCTGCCTCTTTGGTGTGCGCGTGGGAACCACTCGCTTCCTCCCTTGTTTCATCTTCCAGTTCACGCCCTCCCTCGCCTCCCGCCAGCTCCGCCACCTCCACCACTTCCGCGCTTCCACCAGGAGCTGCAGATCTTCCTTGGTGCATCCACGCAGCATCGCCTTCTTTGCGGCTGACAGACTGACCGTGTTGGGTATCTTGTCTCGTGGCCACAGGACAAACGCACCTGCGGCGTACGCATACGCCGCCTCCTCCTCCGATGTGTATGCACCCAGCCGCTGTTGCCTACGCTTTCCTCCTTCTTTGATCAGGATCTTCACGCCAAACTTGCCTGATGCTTTCTCCAACTTCACTCCTGTGTACTTCGTTGCACACGTGTCGTCACCATCCTCTTCGTCCTCCGTGTCTGACACGAGATCCTCCTCTTCTTCTGCATTCACCGTCTCGTGGCCGCTCGTATCTCCCCACGCATCAGCTCCAGCCCGCACCGTCACCCCGAGCAGCGGTCTCCCGCGGGTGAACATCCAGTGAGGTATGGTCCCTCCCGACATCAGCGGGTTTTGCAGCAAGCACGCTGTCGGATCACATGCAGCGAACGATGAGGCCAGCGCAACACGGGTGGCATTGCGTACGACATCCTCCTCTGGACTGCTGTCAACAAGCCTTTTGCGCCCGGATGGACGCTGTGGAGTCTGTGGGGCATTCTTGGTGCCACCTGCCTCTGCTTTCGCGCCGGATCTTACGGGGTTGCCTTGCATCAGTAGTTGGGTTGCAGCGGACACCACCTCCTCGCGCCTCAATCCCACAAAATTGGATATGACGGTGAAGCTCGCGTCCAGGAACATCACATCGTTCTTCATAGTCGCAATTTCCCTCATCATCGCCGTAACCCGTGCGTCATCCCCGGCTTGACTGACCGGTGCTTGCCTCACATCTTCGATACCACCGTTCCTCTCCCGCACTACTGTCTCCCCCTCTGTTACCCGGCCTGCGTCCTGCGGGGGAATTTCGATCCCCAGCGCTTCCAACTGCTGAATGAGATCTCCGGTCGCGTGTGCGCACAAGTCGCGCCGCATCTCCCGCCGGTATTGGTGCGGCGTCACTCCATGAAACCAGAGCCCGCTCAATAACGTGGTGAAGTCGGACATCACCAGGGTCTTCAGGTACTGGCAAACAAAAATCCCACAGTCCTGCTTGTTCGGCTGCTGTGGCAGCTTATCCTCCTGCACTTCGACAAACGCACACTACAGTTAGCAATCCGTCTACCCTCGTAAACATTGTGCACACATGTATGCGCATTCACTGGTGCCCTCACCCGTAATATTATGCACTCCGCATCCAATAGGAGCTTGTCAACAAGCTCCATGTTCGCGTCGGGGTTGCTCGCCTTCGCGAGTTCGGACAGCACTCTGCACGTTACAGGCCGAAATCGTTAAAACAAGTTATGCATCAGCTGCCAGCGACATGCAACGTCGACAGTGAACCCCGTACTCACAGCTTGATGCCTGCAAAAATCATGCGGGTGTTCCTTGTCTTTATGCTACTGTCCAGCAAGACCAACTTCATTCGCTCTTTGCCTTCGGATTCCGCGGACTTGGTAAGCACCGATGGAGATACAGCGATGACGAGCGAGTAATGCTCCCTACGCTCAACATGAGAGGGTATGTTGGGATTAGGGTTAGTCAACCATCGGTGTCATGCTAAAGAATCCACTCACGAACTGAATACTTGTGATACGTACCCCTCTAGCACAGGGATCGCGAGATAGTCGTGCTGCAGTAGAGGAAGCCCGTTCCCCAGCGTCAAAGGCGCACCACACGAGTTCGTCTGGAAGTACACCTTGCAGTCCAAGGCAGCCCATGTTTTCCCGTCACGGAGAGTCGGCTTCCAGATGCTAAGCAGCCTGCACAGGTAATGAACAAGAAATAACAAAGCGTATTAGATGTTGCCCATACATCAGATACTACGCAACAAAGCGTCAACCAGGTGACCTCAGTGAAGATACTTACATGTTGTGAAAGTCTAGCACACCATCAGTGATCCACTGATCATCCTCGATCGACATGAGGTCGTCCTTATCCACCTCGCACCCGACGCCGTGGTGATTTATAAGCGTCATGTTTGTGTACGAAGACTTCATGTAATTCCGTGCGACGAGGGACACCAAATCTTCCTGCACCTCCTCCCGCGCCATATCCTCCTTAGTCGTAGCAAACTTCATGGCCCTTCCGGAGGCCTTAGTTGGCGGGATCGGCCCTGGATTCTTCATGTTAGACTCTGCATTTTTCGACGACCTAGTTCTGCACGTCGGCGGGGGAGGATCTTGGTCGTCGGAGCCGCTGCTATTTTCGGGTTCATAGAACCTGTTGCGCTTAGATGTCAACTGCTTAGGTTTCGCCATCTTTATCTATCAACGACTAGAATACAAACTACCCTGGCTTATGAAGACGCGACCAGGGTGGGTTGGCAGGAGGAACACATTTACGGGGAGCGCAAGCGTTGAGGATACTATGGAAAATGAAGGAGATAGAAAGGCGTAACCCTCTAGGATCATGCACATCTGGTGTGACCGTCGTGTAGAGCTACATAGATGTACACCGTTGGCGCAACCGTGCATGCGATGGCCAGGTGTGATGCGACCACTCGAGAGGATGTGATGGTTCAGCGCCATGCAGATCCACGTGTGCTAATCCTAGGGTTTCGGATGCTGTGGTCGGTGGCTGAAGCCGGGTTACCAAGCATCGGCATGCAAGCGAATGCACGGTAGTTCGAATTTTTTGATGAGAAGGCCGAATGACGCGAAGTATGGTAACGATGTACGTCGTGTGATGAACATACGTGTATGTGTCTCTTCGCGCGCCGAGTCCAGGTTTTATGCAATCGATGCGTACATGGTTATTAAACTTGTATAACAATAACACGCGATTGCAATGTGTTATGTTACGTCAGTTCAAGGTGGTCAGAGTTTGGAAAAAATGTTGTTACCCTACATGACAAATAATCAAATATATGCAATGGTTGTTGGTGGTTACGGAACCAGTTTATGATATTTTTATCATCTCGATCAACAAGTTACAATCATTGGTGGGGCGGTTTGACAAATGTACATCCCGATTCACGTACTGCACATCCACACATAATATAATTGTACCTTTGACTCCAACGAGTACGGCTATGTTCTGTGCGCACACCACAAAGGTTCCCGCACATGCGTGTGCTCGAACCAGACCAACTCTGTTCTACAAGAGTGCACCTGATGGCCTAGGCATTGTTTTCACAGCAGCAATTCCTAGGGTTTCACGGCTGTAGGATGGCGGGGAACAGTTGCCTGGTGTGCAAGACGGTGTTTAAGGACGACAGCAGGTTACAGTCCCATGTAGTGAATGGGGCTGTTTGTCGCGAGGAGTTGAAGAGGAAACGTGAACAGCTTTTGTGGGCTGCATATTTGGAAGCCGTTGCGTGCGAAGGAGAGGGTAGAGCAAATACCCCACCGGCATCCAGGCTTAAAAACAACGATGGCAGCTTTCTCTCCGTACCTCCAACGGTGTCGATACCCGAAGTTAGTGTGGTTGGCGACGCGGATACACCATCCGACGGCGCTAACGCCGAATCTACAGAAGGCAGCGATAGGACTGAGATTTTTGATACACTCACAGAGTTGTACCTGTTTTTCCGTAACGCCGATCTGTCGCACCGGGAAATTAACCGTCTGCTACACATTTTCCGCAACCCTCGCTTCAACCTCAGGGCTCTCCCACGATGGCACAACTGGGTGGATGTGCGCCGCTGGGGCATGGCGCGAGCTCCACCCAACATGGTCCCGTGGAAAACGGAGGAGATAGTGGTGAGGGGTCCCAAAGGACTGCAAATGAAGATGCTACTGCACTTCCGCGACACCGAGTTGGTACGTGATGGGAGGCCAACCTGGAGGCGATGTCTAGGTGACGCGTAGATGAAGTTGGCACCCATCATGTTCTCACCCAAGTTTTTGCGCAACGCACACAGATATTGAAAAAGCTGGTGCGGACGTTCTCATCCAAAAAGGGGTTCGTATGGAAGCCGAGGAAGATATATCGGAAGAAGAACAACGAGAGGGTATTTGAAGGACCGGAGACAGGTGATTGGATGCACAATGCTCATGTACGCACATGTTAGTTGTTCAGTTGTCATATGTCGTGCTTACTGGTACCTGCACGAGGTGTCACAACGCTCAATGGCCCGTGCGCTCTACATGGCAGAAGGAGATTAACGACGACCAGGCACTCGTACTAGGCGTGCTGATATATAGCGATAGCACGCAGGCATCACGGAATGGACGAAGGAACGCGTGGCCTGTGCTGATATCACTTGTCAACATACCCGAAGAATTGCGAGGAGTAGAGCCCAGGCACACATTGGCGGCGGTGCTTCCATTCCCGCCTGAATGGGCGTCGCCCACGGAAAAGACGCGCGTGTTCCAGGAGGCGCTGAAGATAATACTCGCGCCCATCATGCGAGAGTCCGCCAGGTACTGGGAGGGGATGGGGGTGGGTATGATAACGATACACGGGTGGGGAAGGGGGGCCACCCCAGTTAGTAGCCACCCTTTTGGGAGATATGCATACGATCCATCACTAAGTGAACACTATGTGTGCATGGCGGCCCTATGCAGCGCGCCAGTACGCTTCTTCTACTGCACAGACGCGGACGGGAAGGTGCACAAGGCGGTCCCTTGCCTGTACGGATACCCTGCCGACTTCCCGGAATCCAGCAGAGCCTCCGCAACTCTGCAGCAAGGATCGCATCGGCCATGCGCTAACTGCTATGCTGTGAAGGGGGAGTTGACCATGATGGTGGGGAAGTGTGATCCACGGACCCCCGATCAGCAGAGGGACATTGTTCGTCAAATCTTGGCGTGCAAGAAGAAGGGCGAGGCAGACGATGTGCGGAATGGTCAACCCATCCGATCGAGGTGTGTTTGCTGGTGCGCGGTTTGGTGGTGCGTAATGAAGGGGCGCTGGATATCATGTGGACTGTTTGACAACACTGTATCGTCTGTGGGATGGTTGCAGTGCGTGCTTCAAAGGTGGAGTTTTGCAGACACAGAGTGGGGAAACGTGTACCTGGCATGCCTAGCAGACACACTGCACGTGCTGGACTCCGGTGTGCTGATCCACATGATGGACTCCTACATTGAACCCCTTGGAAAGGTTGAGATGTGGCTGCTAGAAAGGTGAGTTAGGTGTAGTCGGGTGTCAGAGCGGTAGCCAACTATGTTCTGCAGGGATTTTTGAGCGGTCTAGGCCCCCATGTGTGTCAAGCGGATAACGACGTCGTACTATGTATGTGCGCAGCCGCAAGAAGGAGTTCAAGCGTTTCACTCCAAGCGTTCTCCTCCGTATCCCTGGGGGATCATCGTTCTTCAGTTCAGGCGCAAACTACGCGGCTTTCGAGCACACGAGCATGATGCAGATAATGCCGCTACTCGTGGCAGACGAGAGTGCATTAAAGGATGGACCGGAGGGAGAGCTACGTGCTTTGCAGGTCAAGGCGTTCCGGTTGTATGCTGTGTTCTACAAGGCGTTTCTGGGGGTTGACAGACACACACACACGACAATTGCGATTGCCCGGCAGCATGCGATAGCGTGAGTATTTGTATACCCCACGCCGTTGGGTCAACAAGATTTATGGGAGGCTATGCCTCCAGATTGGACAGCTATTTTGAGGTCGCCAAATACGGTGATGCATCCAGTCTTGTGCCTTCTCGGGGGTGCCGGTGCACGTTGGTGGCGTTGCTACCGAAGGCATTCCCATCGCAGGCATCCCACTGGAAGCTCCCAAAGATACACATGATAAGACATTTGCTGGACAACGTGAAGGAGCGTGGGATGCCGCACCACTATTCAACCGAAATGTGGGAGCGCTCGCACAAGGGCACGGTGAAGGGTCCAGTAAGAGGGAGCAATTGGAGCGACATACCTCGACGAATCGTGGAGGAGGAGGTGCAGCGCGAGGTGTACCGCGAGGTGGCGGCAGACGCTGGGGGTGGGCGAAAGTACGCGCGCGCCTTGCGTGAAGTGTGTTAGGGGGTCTTGGCGACGATGATGCCCAATGTTGGTAGTACAGAGTACACCGTACACCGGGGTGGTGGCGTGATTCAAACACCGTTTGATTCGTTGTGCGAATGCGTGTGGTACGTGCAGGCAATCTTGACGAAGAAACCGGTGCTTACGAAGAAGTATCGGACAATGCGGATTGGCGGAGCGGCGGATCCAGTGTACAATGAGTACATAACCGCGGTGGGAGACGATATGAAGGGTTTGGCAGACGAGTTTAAGGCGTTGGGTCTGGCTACCAACAGCGTGCAGGTGAAGTGATTACAAACTGGCGGACATGTGACGTTTGTAGTCTTACATGATGGTACTCACCGCACTCATGATGTGCACGTGTTGTTGGTTTGGTGGGGATGGGGTGACAGGTCCACACGGCGGTGGCCATTCCGCGCACAAGAGGCGAAGAGCTGGTGGCCAAAGGGACATTTGTGAAGGCGTCGCCCCGAGAGAGGTGGTATTCGGACGTTGCACTGCTCAATGACAAGGGTGGGGACTGGTATGCAAAATGTCTGTGCATTTTCAGGGCGGTTGACCGTGAAGGGGATTGGAAGGGGTACGCATATGTGAGGTATGAGAAGGCTGGGAGCTGCAACCTCACGGGACGTACGCAGCTGCACAAGACAGTGGAGGATGTGAGGTTCTCGGTGGTGGAGCTGAAAAGCCTGCAGAGAGTGGTGCACGTGTGCCCTTCGTACAGCAACAAAAAGGTGCAGCTAGTAAATAGATATCTACTATGCGAGTGACGCAATGCGTTTACGGACAGTGGTTGCATCTCGGAATTTTAAACCATAAATTACTGCGTAGTGCGTTCTTTATGTGTAGAGGCACGAATGGATGGAAGTTGTGTTATCCAGCGGTGATGATATTGTACACTCGTGGTAAGGAGAGACGTTCAATCAGGTAGAGGTGTGCAGTATGGTGGTTAAATTATGAATCGTATAACGCGTACGGGTACCCTTATTCCTTGCGCGGTCGGGGTTGCACAACCACAATATGTGGTGGTACACACTCGGGGTCTCAGGCAGTTGGTTGTTTGGATATGGGTGACGCGTACGTGGCATCGTGGGGGCGGGATGTTTTAGGTGGGAGTTACAGGTGGTCGTATCAAAGGAGAGCGTTATCTCTGTGCGGCGCAGGGAATGTGGTCGGTTGGTTGTGTGGCCAATTTCAACTACTG